AGGAACCCGATTGAATAAAACAGAAGTACTATACTTGCCTGATTCACATTAAAATATAATTACCATGAATGGAATTTACCCTAGTCTAAAAAACTAAGATGGAAGCATTTTGTACTTCGTGTAAATGGCATAGTCATGCAAACTTTGATCACCATCACTCAGATAAGATCAGTAATGGATTTAGAATGCTGTAATGTTAATATGATCAAGACTCTAATTTGGTGACATTTTGTAATACTTTTTGACCTCCAAAAATTTGGGTTAAAAATATGTATCAGAGGATGAACATGATACTGAATTTAGCTCGAATTGCATGGCCTCATGTCCCGGTTAGACATCTACAAGAGAAATTGTCATATATATAATGAATATAGATTGTTCAAATGCAAATTTTCAAGAAATAGAATTTTAGGTAACATCCAAACAAAAGAAACAAACTTCACTAAGGAAATAAAGAAGGTGCAAACCATCCAGTTGTATTGCGTCGTTCATAATTCTTAATAGTATCTTCCAATTCAAGTGCCTGTGTAACACAAGTCAGGTACTCACTGCGAAAAAATAACAGAAAAGAGTCCAAAATATTTTAGTAAGATGATCATCAGCACCTGATAGTTACAGAGTGCTATATAGTATTTGTTTAAGAAATGTTTAAATGATATACATGTGGCCGACTCTAACAACTTAAGCTTTTAGATCAAATGGTTCAACAATATTTTTTCTACATAAAATCTAAGATAGGTGACAAATTGGTGCCTAAGTTGACAATTACCATGAGATGAAAACTGATGCTGGTAATAACGACATTTTGACCAAGTTTCCTACCATGTGAGTGTTACAAAGGATCTAAGTTCCACAAGGTTGAAAACAGGAAGGAAATAAATAAGGTTATATCTCTGGTGTCATCCACCAAATCATGAAAAAAATGTGAAGCGGTCAGTGATCTTAAATGTAGAAATAAAGGTAAGTATGACTACGAAAAATTGGGAAAAGAATAAGATAAAAAACACAAGATAAACATAACACTTAACAACAACCTTGGCAATGAACTAGAACTAAGGGCCTGTTTGATAACCATTATTTTCTAGGGAAGTTGGAAAACTTTTTCCTTTTTCCGTGTTTTGGCTTGTTTGATAACCATTTTTTGTCATGGAAAATCTTTTCCTACTAATGTCCACACGTGCACATTTTCACCCAAAATGTNTTGTCATGGAAAATCTTTTCCTACTAATGGCCACACGTGCACATGTTCACCCAGAATGTGGAACTAGTGGTGGGAAAACTAATTTCCACCTTTTTTATTTTGTTTAATTTTTTAATTTTTTTTGGCAATTGGAACTAATTTTATAACCAATTTTAAAAAAAAATTAATTTTAATGGACAATTTTCATGTAAAATAAAGTCAAACGAACACTAAACTTTGATAAAAAATGATTTTCTTGGAAATATTTTTTTTTCTTTTGTTTTTTTTTTACTTTTTGGCAATGGAAACAAATGTTATAACCAATTGTAGAAAAAATTATCACTTTAATGGACAATTTCCATGTAAAACAAAGTCAAACGAACACAAAAAAATCCAAAATTTTAAAATTTTTCGGGTGGAAAATTATACCAATCAAACACACTTAATTAACAATTATCTGGAAAACAAATTCTAGCCAATTATTTTCTTTGGAATTTATTTTCTTTCCATCCATTTTCCACCGTTGCAATCAAACGGACGCTAAATAAAAATAACACAATAAGGAGAAAAAAAAATGACAATCAGAAATAGATTGAGATTTTGAGAAATAGATATAGATACATACAAGAAATAGATTGAGATTCTGAGAATGCAGAACAGAATCATCCACGAGAATACAAATAGTTAACAGAATAACTACACCTTTTGCATCGATAATACTCCTCACGAGCTTGCCGAAGATGACGTCTCAGAGTTGCCATTGATTTCTCATCTGAATCGTAATCCATATCATTTTCTCCAAATTGACCCCCTTGTGGCTTAAAGGAAGGATCTTCTTTGAACTAGGAAATAGGAAAATAAGAGTTGAATTGCATAAATAATAATCATATGTAGAGATTTCAAAACATGATAATGTTTAAGAACCAGAAGTACCATTTGCA